GATAATAATAAATTGGTCGTATTTCAAAAAAATAATATTGTAATGTATATTTTTTCTCATAGAATACCCGTACAACAATTCATATACCTCGTATATATCGAACCACCGTAAGAACCATCCAAACCTTGATCACTCAACTATTAGAGGATCGGCAATAAAATATAATTATAAATAAATTGAACCAAATACTAGATAATCAAATTTAAGATTCATTAATTATTGATTATAGTTATTATATCAATATTATCAAAATTACTTTACCACTATTTAAACATAATTATAATTACAATTATTATAATAATAGTTACCCATAAAAAGTGTTTACCTGTTTGTTTCTAGACAAGTAGACCAAGATAAATAGTAAATAAATAAAATACTACATAATACTAGTATACTAAGTTAATGAACTCTTTTTCTTTCATTACATTTAACTGCCAGAATAATACTGAACTTTATACATACCACAATATACATTTTATTATTTATTCTCTTTAAAATGTTAAATGATGTCCGGGTTTTAGCGCGGGTCGATGCCAATCTTAACGAATATGTTGCAAAAACATAAAGTTAACAGGACGAATGACGACATACATTACATGCAGATACATATGCAAATAAAATCGGCATGTTATAAAAAAAAATAAGTAAATTTAAAATTGTTGTAAGTGCTATCATGCGCACCTTTTTTGGTTAGAAAGATTACGTGTAAATATGTAAACTAGAAGCCGTCACAAGCGACGTTGATTGTTAATTCCAACGTGACTATCATGCTATTTGCAAAGACTTTTTTAGTTCTTCTGTCGTACATGGTAACTTGCACAGTTTATACACAGTTCCTCTCGATAGAGGGACTGCGGTTTATATAAGTGACTTGATCTATTTGTATTGTATATGTTTGACGACCGACACAAGGCTACATTTCAGTAAAAAATTGTTTAACACATAGTTATTCGGTTTACTGTAAAATTACTAATTTTCACTGAGTTTAAATTTCACTGATTTAGCATTTCAGGCATAATCAGTGGGTTTTAAATTCACGGTTTTATGATTTAGATAATGTGTTCTATGCTCAAATTTACATATTCACTGGGTTTTAATTTAGCGCATTTGACAGTCAGCGAAATATACAAAATTAAAACCCAGTGAATAATTAATCCTTTTACAGTACTTTCATACTATCGTTTAAACTTCACCAATAATCATATGTGCTCTAGCGCCGCCACGAGCCATCAACATTGTTAAGTCACATATAAAGGGCGCTGGATTCAGGATAACTGTGCAATGTGACTCGAGTATAACACGCAACAATACTGTCAAAAGTTTCTGTTTATCTAAACGTTTGTAAACGGGTGTTGTTTTTATCCATTAATGCCACTTGTTTACTCTGCATTAACTAGGTAACTTTAGTTTGCCTCAAAAGGAATCACAATACACATCTTTTTATTACAGAGGCAATAGCTCATGTTTTTACAAACACAGACAGTGATTGAAACCTGTCAAACATAAACGGAAATATATTCATATAGAGACTTTCACAGCAAAATAGAATAGAGCAATAGCCATAAAAGCGCTGTCGTCACAAGATATTTCGCGATCTTACTGTGCAAACAAACAAAGATGAACGATTGAAAACAAATACATCAGTGCCCGTCAACTTGAAATGCATCGCTTTTTTGCTACATTAAGTCACCCTCTGTTATTCACGGTATATATAATTACGACAATGTTACACACTACGCATATTAACATGGTTTGTAACAGTCATGATCCAGTGCAAATCCCACAACAGAGGCAAGCGACTTACGCTCACCTCTAACCTGTATATAATTACGTCATCCTTTGGAAATCATACGCTTTTTCTTTTTGAAAACGAAAGATCAAATTAAGTCTTCAGTAGTTCATACACTCATCAAATCAGACACGCCGCCTCTATAGCAGTGGTTCAGAATTCCTCAAATATGCATCTCCATGACTACGTGAATCAGATATCTCATCAATCTAATCCCTTATTAATGTTTGAAAGAAAACCAATTAAAAACAATTAAGTAAATGTCTACGCGACGTTTTGAATAACAATATGTTTGATTCGAAGGCAACGAAATCCAAATCTAACCGAGTAGTAGAAGATCTTTTCATCACTTTTTGAGTTATAAATGAAAAATCCTCCCCTAGAGTGTTGTTTCCATGTCAACAAGATCCACATCTCTCTTGAATTCGCGCACACAGACTAGAGACCATCATCTTTGCGCTAGTTTAGAAGGCTGCGAAATGGATACATGGGATAGATTTGAGTCCCTGCAATATAAGATGTATTAAACTGGTTCTACCTCATCTGTGGTTGGTAGGAAACCTACCCAGTTACGATTGCCTCTTGGTATAATTCTGTCTAATTAATGAGCAGAAACAAAAAAAAATGTACAATAAAATAATTTAAAATAAAAACACTGTGTAATGAAAAATACATGTAATACAACTACTCTAATAACATGCGCTTGCGTCAGATGGTCATAGCGTGTCATTGTTAACAAACAAGCGTCTACCCATGAGCCTTTGCGTTTTTAGCGTGTGATGTTATCGTCGCTTGGGATTCAATTCACGCGCGTGCGTAGGTGACGACCCTCCCGCTTTCGCGACATACAGCCATAGTTGAAACCAGTATGTACATGAGTTTTAGTTCCAAATTGATTTATCGCGTTCTATGGTACCCTTAACCGATATAACAGAGTACAAACAGTAACGACACACGGTCGAAACACAAACAAGACACCGGTCATGTTCATCATAGGTTTACATAAACAATCAATCACTATCATCATAACACAAATAGGTCAACAGTAATATTACCAACACATTAATTAACAATGCTGTATGTGTTACAACCTTTGACCTTATGCCCCAACCTATACTGTCCTTACGTTATTAGTGTTATACAATGTGCAGACTGTCGCGTCGCGTTTAGTCAGTGGTACGCTCGACTCCAATGCATATGCTAATTTGCAAAATCCCTGCTCGGCAACCATGACTCTACAATATTCTCAAATATATCTTAATGTTCAATAGAATCTCAACAACCAACACAGAGCTTGTATGCTTCAGGCATTACTATTAATACCAGATATTCAACAAATTAGCTAAAGAATTAACACCCGTAATTCTCAAACAAACACAATATTACAACAGGCGGACATGTTATTAACCTAACATAAGTTATTATCAGCCACACTACGCCATATTTAATTTTTTGTATATGGTTATTATTTTTATCATGATATGGTGTTCTTTTAAACAACACACACTGCTAGTACGTCAGCGAATAGCAAAAAACGTATATTTAAATAAATCGTCTATATAAGTTCGTCTTTTTCAAAAAGTATACCATCCTAGAATTCACTAATTCGTCATCTTGTAACCGCACCGATTATTACATAAGATGTTGTCATTAACTCCAAATACTAATTGTCTGTCATATATATATATATATATATATATATATATATATATATATATTTATATACATATCCCCAAATTACAATCATATATCGTTATATACATTATAGCACGCCCTCTACGATATATACCGCGTATTTCCACATGACATTTATAATTTCCGTCATTTATAATTGAATTTACCAGGAAATTCTTCCCTGTGCACGAAGATACATAACTACCGACAAAACAAAAACATACAGGACAAAAACCCACATTAAAATCCTATCTATAACTTGAGCCATTTCTTGCCATTGGTGAATTATCTTCTTTCGTTTGTCCTTCCGTTTTGCTCTTGCTACCAGAAATTCGAGATGCTGACAAATGTCGTGCAACTGCTTATCCTGCTTAGGAGTGTCTTCGTTCTGGGAGCGTGGGCTCTCATTGTTGAGTCTGTGGGTGGCGCTCTCACTAATTGACGAAGTATTTTCCAGCATTCCGCTTATTGTGCGTGTGTTTCCATTCATCGACATTTCCGTCAATGGCAGAAGTACATTTGTGTAGCAATACGGACTGGCAGTCGCATTGCCAGTTTCTGTACTTTCCTGGTTAATCTTATTCTGTTCCTTTTCCTGACCCATGCAGACAGCGGGCGCTAATATTTCGAAGACGAGAAAGCGCACCCATTTCGGTAAGTCCGTCGTGTCTGTTTCAGTATGAAAAATGTTCAACACCCAGACGTTCATGACGCACGAGAAACACACCATTACTATCATACTTGCAAAGTATTGTGCTAAAAAAAGACAACACAATATTAAACATAATTAAATCAGCTTACAATTCTTCTTAGATTTTACAGTCGTGACAGCAAGGGCCTGTTTAAGTTGACCTCAGGAAAAACGTCAAAAGATTCTCATAAACATACTATATACACGATACCGTGTATCATTTGCATATGTATATTGACATTGTGTGAATAGTTTTGCGTAATATAAATTATCATGTAGTTGCATTGCATTCATTGAAATGTCGTGACTTATACTTGTGTCGCGACTAAACCTTTAGTGTCCACCATTGGAAATTCTTTTTATAGAACATAATTAAATCCCTCTTTGCAGTCGAAATTTGTTTAAATTATGTTTTTGTTTCACACACAAAACTCACATTAGCATACCAAATACATGTAAATGTAATTGTTTAAATTGCCACCGGCAACAACAGGATTAGGTGCGTTAATAAATTAAACTGGTTGATTTAATTTCATTTAAGTTCATAAACCGTCAAAGGATTCGCATATACATACTTTATACACGATATCATAACCCAATAGTTACCATAGTTTTCCAAATGTTCTGATTTATTATTAACAGGCACTTCGGAAGAGTCGTAGCCTCCATCACCCCAAGCATTTCCCTGAGTACACGCGGGTATTATCAAATGTTTACGTGAATACCTACCTATAATTGGCACACTGTCTCCTGTTGGAGGCATCGTTTGAGCTACTAGCTGATGGAATACGATCAAAGACAAGAGATTGGTAATAGTGAGCGTAATCTTCTCGCCAGACTCTGCTGGAAGCCAGAATCCCAGCAAGGTGAGTCCGGCAATCAAGAGGTTGGGCATTAACAGATTGAATACGTAAAATAGCGGCATCCGTTTTATCACAAGTGTAAACGTCACATCGGGATATGGCCACGGGCAACATCCATAATATATCACATTTCTCTGTGCAGGCGCAGAGACGATTTCCCACTCTCCATTTTCCAAAAAGGTTCCCGTGTCTACCGAGTCGCTGCGGTTTACGATGTCCATCTGATAGCCGTTATACGACCAGGAACCGAATTTGAAGAAACACGATTGCTGGTCGAATGGAAATTTCCACAGGTCCACTCTGCATGATGCTTTAACTATAGCCGGTGTCAACCAGTACACGGTTCCATCTGAATAAAGGATTACCATCGTTTCGTCAATTCGCAGGAATTCCTCATCAATACTGAGAAAATAATTAATATTAATATGAATTCATGTAATGCTGGAAACCTTTTTTAGTCTATTTCGTCGGCGCCTTTCATTCTTACAATGGTTGTCGCTTCAGTAATTAACCTGTCCGCTATTCCAGATACATTTCACATGATTGTTACGACAAATTGTCTACCTGGCCCCGGGTAATCTATAATTGTCCCAATTACATTTCAAACTTTCTACTGATTGCTTTAAATTGTCCCATTATCATTTACATAAAATCAAAGTTTGCCAATTCAATATCGAGTTGTCAAATTGTCGAATTATTTCTTGCGAGGAAAGTAAATAAAGAACAAAACAATACTAACACTAACAAAACACTTACTTCATCAGCAATTATGGAATTAATTTCAAACGAACCTGTAGATATCATCACTTGATTATATAAGTCATTTTTTTGTCATCGCAGTTGAATATAGGTTAAAATACCGGAAGTGACACTTACTTGTTATATAGTTTTATATCCGGTAGCCATACCATATGCAATGGTATTGTTAATTCTGATGTGCCACCATATTCCGATGAATTCCACTGAAGAAATTCGTCCTTCCATAACTGAAATATGACGTGCGAAATATAAAAAGGATTTTCCAATTGAAAGATTTAATAATGAGTGTTGCGTGTGGTTTTATATTGACTTCATTGCATGAATGTAAAACGACTATTGATTTGGATTCTGCCTCAAAATATCGCTTCCTTAAAGCGGGGGTGTCGTCAGCTGCGCATGTGTCAGACGGCCACAACGTGTCATTGTTTACAAACAAGCGTCTACCCATGAGCCTTTGCGTTTTTAGCGTGTGTTGTTATCGTCGCTTGGGACTCAATTCCCGCGCGTGCGCAGGTGACGACACTCCCGCTTTAAAATTACGTGGAATTTATGTGTTTTGATGAATTGAAAATGTGACATTCATTTGCATATATTGACATTGGGAGAATAGTTTTGCGTAACATAAATTAACATGTAGTTGCATCCGTTAAAGTTTCGTGACTTCACGACGAGGAATACACTTGGGTCCCGGCTAAATCTTAAGTGTCCACCATTGAAAATTAGTTTTTTATTGAACTTAACTTAATCCTTTGTTTGCAGTCGAGATGTGTTTAAATTATGTGTTATTTTTTTGTTTCACACACAAAACTCACATTAGTATACCAAATTATTTGCTAAATGGCCACCGTCAACAACAGAAGTAGGTGGGTTAATAAATTGAACTGATTGATTTAATTGAACATGGGTACGCCATCTACGTTCATTTCGCGACAATTGAACAGATAATTACAACAAATGACACCTAATGAATCAAATAGTTCGTAAAATGGTAACGTCAATATATTATCATATTTAAGCGCACAAACATTGTTTCTCGTGTTGAAATCGGATTTTTCTGATTTGGTATTTATATACACATTTAGTATTGTGTTGCATCCTACTTACCATTCTTAACCAAACACTCAGAGACAACCTTTGACTTACTTCATCCTGAAATAAATTAAGATTGCCAAGCTAGTTATAATAGAACCAAAGAAGTGACCGAAGAAATATAGCGGAACAGATTCTTGGTATAGTCACAATACTAACTAGCTTGTTTATTGCCGCTGACATGAGTGTGATGTGACATGTGGATGAATAGCTTAAACAAAATATACGTGCTGACGTTGAGAACGCTCGTCATGCACGAGTGCGCGCGCCAGGGATGCTGCATAGCTGTTTCTTGTATGTGCTGACATCGCGAACGTTCGTTATGCACGCGCGCGCGCGCGCCGGGGTTGCTGCATGGCCGTGTCTGATTTGCGCTGACTTCGAGAACGCTTGTCGTATACGCATGCGTCAGGGATGTTTTGTTGCCGTTTCTTGCACGTGCTGACTTTGAACACTTGTTATACATATGCGAAATTTGGGCATGACATTTCAACGTCATCTGTGCGTGATCTATTTCATACTGTTGCCTAAGAAGCGCGTGAAAGTACTTTCAACGAGATGAATGCGGTAAATACCTAAACACAAACACAGAATTGATTGATTGTGTATAACATGCGTAGTGTAAGTGTATTAGACGTACTACTTTGTCATCAATTGTGTATATTTAAAATGTGATTTTTTTGGTTGATTTTAAATCAATATATGTCAGCGAGCGCTAAAGACCTCTGTCACTATTTCTACATCGAGCGGCCGTCCCCGGCCACGAGATTCATTTGCTTACCATGCTAATCATCTGTTTTACCGCCATTCCAAGCGCCAAACTTATTTGGGTAGAATCGTTATAGACTGGTCTGATCATCGTATTATAGTTCTTAAATAGGTCGTCTAATAAGCGAATCTTCGGTGTTTTCTCGTACAGTAGACCTGTAATAGAGATAACAGAACGGTATATATATATATATATATATATATATATATATATATATATATATATATATATATATATATATATATATATATATATACACATTGTCAAGAAAGTGCACATCAACTTAAAAATAATAGTCTTAGTTCCATTTGCAATTGTATGTGGATTTCAAAAGGTTGTAATTATGTCAAATTAAAGATCGTGATATAGTGTTTAGTCGGTGGACGTGTAAAATGACTGATGACGGAAACGCAGTTGAAATATATAAAAATCATTGACAGCTACGTAAACATGTGCTGAGTGTGCCCATTTAGTCAATGTGTGTTCGTGTTCATTACACAGTCTTTTGGCCAAGGAGCAGAGCGTTTGGCGCATCTCGATCTGGAACGCATCTCGTGTGGAATATTTCAAGTTCTCAATTACAATACAGAAGGTCTAACTAATGCAGCGATCGATTTTCGAACGGATTGCTGCAACAGTTTAGTGTGTGGGATTTGAGGTGTACATTTATCTGGGTTATAGGGTGGAATAAGATCACACCACGCCCGAACAATGTATTAACTCAATGGGAATGTGTGGCGATAGAGCGTTGTTTGTCTGTCCCCTGGTCTGTGGACAGTCGTCTAATACAGCCACAATACAAAAATACAAAGCAGCACTGAAAACTTATTTGTTCAGGAAGACATTTAAATATGTGGGAATGTAAATACGTTTTGTTTATTGCTGATTATTTTGTATTTTTGTTGTTGTTGTCGGCGGACAATATAAGTGAATTATTAATTAAAATGCTTGTAATTTGTCCAACTGATGTGTAAAGGATAAACAAATATTACTGGCAACTTGTTGTTTGTCGGAATGTCATTCTGATAATCCCTGGCACGAAGTTAATAGAAATTCACTGGGAAATAGTTCTTCAACGTATGCTCACACCTGTTCTCACCTGGTGTATGCTATAATGTTCATGTATCGTGTTAGCTCCCATGTGTGTAAAACACAAACGAGAGAAAATGTCGTACCGATGTCTGTACGTCCGTCCGCCCGCCTCTCTGTCTATCCATCCCATGATTGGCTGAATTGGAATGAAATTTGGCACACAGCTATTATATCACGAGCACCAGACCATATCAGATTCTGGTACAAATCCGTGTATGGTAATATGAATAATAATTGGTCAGTTTTAACATGTTTTGTTTTGTTTTTTTGCATCTGTTGCATGATTGTTATTTATGTAGATCAATATTAATCTGTTCAGTTTAATTATCTAATTTACATAATAATTAACTGTTTTCATCGTTTTTGTTTGTATCGTAACATTTTGCTCAAGTGAATTGAAACTAAGTTCATTCATACTGTTTATGTTCAATATCTAATGTTATTCCAAAATTGAATCTGTGCATATCAATTAGACAATTAGCTTACTAATTAAGTGTTTTCAGCTTGGTTATTCTGTATCACAGCAACAGTTTGAATTGATCTGCTCAATTAATTAGCAAGTTGGAGTTAATAAACACACAGAGAAGCGCATTCAGTTTATGTCTGATCCTACCGTCTTTTGCAGTGTACTTTTTAGTGTCAGTTGTTTTGTTTTGGCGATTGTTGTCATTATACAGTTGTATTCCTGAATATTATCCAATCGGGTCAGGCGTTTTCATTCACGTGAAACTATTTCTTATAAAATGACTTGAAAAATCGACAGGCAAACAACTTTTATACTTGAAAGATACTTTCTAGTGTCCTTTGCGCTTGTGGGCCCTGGCCGTCGCCCGGAGTGAAAATGTGTATTCGACGCCTTGTATTTGAGTCATCAATACTACACACTCCTAGCACGTGCGAATATTGAATGTTTACAGATAGTATTGTGCATGATAGAAACGACCATTGTTGTGTTTGTATTAGCCTCAGTCAATACTCGCGTGACGGGGTACCACACATGACATTAAACGTTACCCATAATTCTTCATGATTTTTACTACAGTATATACATCGATGCTAAAATTGTTAATTACATAATATATTGAACCCTATTGAATTGCTAAGAAATTTGTTCCTTTTGTTTTTCAAAAGTAAGTTTCACAATATTTAATTAGAATGTCAAATTTAGCTTCAAGTCTGGTGTATGTTGTATGTTGCCAATTTTTAGGACTACAATCGTAGCATAATTACTCACTCTCATCACTTAGTAATAAGTTAATGTTTAGTTACACCAATTCAAAGACACAGCCAGGTGATCGGTGATTTTCTTAGGCAATCACGAATTGTTCGGTGTGAATGTTATCCAGATTTGTAATATTGTTCACAAAAACCGATACTACTCTTACAAATCTCAAAAATATTCGGCATTTCGGGGAAAATGTAAGTTGTACTGGTGACATTTATATACCAATATTTATTAGTACAATTAAACACATACGATTGTGGATAATTACAATCATATTTTGATCTCGGGATTTGTTTATCTATAAAAAAAACTGTGTACCATTAGTCTTGAATCCTGTTGCAATTTTTCAATCCTTTATTAAAACCACAAGTAAGTAAAATTGGTTCGAGTACGTTCTTCTTATATTAGTGGTTAGTGTGTTGTTTCACCAACAAATTGAACATTCGGCGAATATTTGTACAGTATGTCGGCCAAATCAATGAAATAATGCATCACGGCCTATTGTATTGAGTAAGGCGTGATCAGATGTAGCCATGGTAATATTACTGTAAAAATATGAATGATTGATAGTGTGTTTGTTGTATGCCAGATATATGATATACCGCTTTTGAACATCTACTGTTTATTCTATTCCTCAATTAAAACATGCATTATTGAAAATTACATAATTGTGTAAGTCAATTAAATGTAAATTTACAAATTTCCTTGAAATTATTACAATTAGTTTCATGTTACAGTTTTTAGTTGTTAGCTATGAGAGTAAATAAATGTATTAATTATTACGTAACAAAACCATTTAGAAATATATAGCCTGGAGATTCGTTGGTGCTTTGTTTGTGATTTTAGTTTAGTATCATCAAAGTAACTACGCGCCAGAAGGCCTTCCCAGACAGAAAATGCGATAAATCTGATAGCATATCCGGAACACTTATGTAGTCATGCGACTTTGTCCGTGATAATAACATTACTATACTGATGTATTTGCTAAGCAATCGTTTTTACCGCCCAAAAATAATTTAATAACATAGTCTAGTTCCAAGAAGCAGGTGCATGCCTTTGTCATGCGAAAACGCATATATTTAGTTATTGATTATTCTGAAAGTGTAATATGCATTAAACAGTTTACTGGTGCACAGGCGGCGAGTGTTTTTTATTTTTTGTTATTGTATGTATGTATATCTAGGATGCAAAATAAACTGAATAATGATTGATTCCTACAGATTACTTGAATATATGAATAATCGAAAAACCCACACCCATAAAAAATATGTCACTACCATTGCGTGGCGTCGATATTCAACTATTCACACTCAGGTATTTATAATAAGAACATTATGCTCGCGCATATTATATGCGACCCTTTAACACAGCGGTTCAGTCAACGCTCTTACTCCTGATTGGGCTTCCAGGCTAAAGTACAGCTACACATGTTGGAAATATCGTGGCTGTACATATGATAAATCCACTAAAAACCTAAAACAAAATTAGCATTGCACATGGTGTACATAATTAGCAATACATAAATGTCATGATGCATATTTAAATTGCTTGACAATGAACGCACGTGTCACGAGCGCCATATTGTTTGTTAAATGTGTTATATATGGAGCTTCAATTTCATATTCAATAGTAAAATTAATCAGTGTGGTATCAGTTGTTGATGACTGTGAAGTCACGAAGCTCGCGGTATACTAAGGCCTGGGTAATATATTATATTCTCGAAAGTAATGAATAAATAACCAAAAATGAATGAATTTTCACCGATACATTGCTGAACTACGGTACCACGCATATGAAAAGTGACTCTCCGTCTTTATAAAAAATTATAAAATTAAAATATTAAAATGTATTCAGTATGTGTTTACGCACTGCCTGCTATATTAATTAGATGTGACGATGGGTCAAGTGATAATTTAGGCATATTTACATTGTTTGAGTTAGTGCCGTTAAAGATCTTATTTAACATTTGGTAATGTCTGTATTATTTTATGACAAGTCTTCTTAAAGTGGGGGAGTCATCACGCATGCCTCAGATGGTCATAGCGTGTCACTGTTCAGAAACAAGCGTTTACCCATGAGCCTATGCGTTCTTATCGTGTGTTGTTATCGTTGCTTGGGACTCAATTCCCGCGCGTGCGCAGGTGACGACCCTCCCGCTTTATGTTTATGTTTTTGGAAAGAAGACTGTGTTTAAACTCCAACTGCGTTATGTGTGTTCTATAGAATATTCAAATGAACATACGTACCTGTTGAAACTCCCACAAGACAGCCTATCACAAGACATACACATAACCCGTGATTTACACCGAGTCCTAGCATGATTGATAGTGGTGGTGACGACACGGTATGTTTTACGTCACATTTCAACGGAATAAGTAATTTCCTGAACTTGAGCTCGAGACTCGATTGAAGAGGATAGTTAAACTCCGCCCGTGGTGACAATTTTCAACGTCCTGTCTAAAAAACAAACACCATGAAATAAACAATTAGCTTAAAACTACTTCTGATATACATGAATATGACTTAATTATGCTAACGTTCCATTAGTTGTGTGGGGACGACGGGGAGTGTGAAATGAATATAGGACTAGTTTGTGAAGGTGAATGTGGCTAAGCGTAGTAAAACTGATCGTTGACAGCCATGACACACACACACACACACACCCACACATACTTGTATTGCAATATGTTCCGAGGACTTCATTGGATTAACTTTTAATATAGTTGAATTAACTTTTAATATAGTTGCGATATGAACTCGATTAAAACGCGTTCCTATATAGGGTTGCGTTTTAATTGGAGTTTAATTAAACTCAATTACAATGCAATACAATGGAGAATTGCATTTTAATTAAGTTTAATTAAACAAGAGTTGAATATCCGGTGACTGAACATAGAAATGTT